TAATCAGGCTGAAATTAATAACTATTAATTCTAAAGTACTTTATGGTGTGCATTTGAACTTCATAAAGTAACTGTATAGCAAATAGAACAGGTACTTAAAGCATCACAAAAATTAAAAGACCTGCCCAAGGTTATACTAGTGAATAGCAAAACTCTGGAACACAGAACTTTGCTGACTCAAATTTCTGTTCTTTTGTATAATATCACACAAATGGTTTTACAATGAGATACCTCTTAACATAAGAAGTACATAATTGGGAAATTCATTTTACAGTAACAATTAGTAATAAGAGAGCAGGATAAGGAATCAGGCTGTCTCAATTCCAAACTTAAGCGATGTTCACTATAAATGAGCCTTTTCATCATCTGATAACAAGAGATGTTACCAAGGTTATAAAAACTGATTTTGCTCAGAAAGGTAATTTCCTTAAAATTATAAGCCATTATGATATTATTTAAATCAGATGAAACTTACATCTAATTAAATATAAACAGAAATATCCCCCCAAAAGTCAGTTGAATCTGCCTGAAACTAAACCATTTTCTCAAATAGATATCCGAAAAGAAATCGGAGACTACGTCTAAGACGACTTCCCTAACATAATAAACACACACATACATAATAATATTGGAAAACAAAATATTAAGATGAAAGTGTCACAGAAATCTGTAAAACTCTAGTCACTAAACAGTATTTTAAAAATACTAAAATATGGCCAGGCATGATGGCTCACGCCTGCAATCCCAGCACTTTGGGAGGCCTAGATAGGCAGATCAACTGAAGTCAGGAGTTTGAGACCAGCATGGCCAACATGGCAAAACTTGGTCTCTACCAAAAGTATAAAAATTAGTCAGTCATAATGGTGTGTGCCTGTAGTCCCAGGTACTCTGGAGACTGAGGCAGGAGAATCACTCGAACCTGGTGAGGGCGGGGTTTTACAGTGAGCTTTGGCAACAGAGTGAGATTCCAGGGGAAAAAAAAAACACACCACGAAATAACTGCATTTACTAAACATCACATAAATAAACCTTGGAAGTTTATTTTACTTTAAACGATGTTTCAGTCTACATCATTTTGTATAACAGTAACATGGGATAGGATAAGAAACCATGATTATCACCTGAAGATTATATCCAAAAGCAAAACTCAGCAAGTAGGATATAACAGAATGCAATTATGTTTCATTGCATTAAGTCTTAAGTTCTTCTACTAAAGAAATCATCCTTCAAACAAAAGCATCTGCATTCTCCCAAAGATAAAACTGCACTGACTGTAGAACTAGACAAGGTAGGATTTTAAAGGTGAAATGAAAAATTAATGACACTCCTACAGAAACTAATTTATGCCTCTACTCCTGATCCAACAAGGACAGAACACATCATTAACAGTCACATGGACAGGAGTTAAGAAACTACTCTATTACTAATATACTAGTGTGTAGTAAAGTAGGCTTCTTATCAATTATTTGTGAAAGAATGATTACTCTAAAACAAGTCTATTGACGGGAAAAAAAAAAAAAAGAATATAACACTTAAGAATAACAAATAGAGGCCAGGCATGGTGGCTCACACCTATAACCAACACTTTGGGAAGCCAAAGGCGGGCAGATCACCTGAAGTCAAGAGACCAGCCTGACCAACATGGTGAAACCCTGTCTCTATCAAAAATACAACAATTAGCCAGGTATGGTGGTGGGCACCTGTAATCCCAGCTACTGGGGAGGCTGAGGCAGGGGAATTGCTTGAACCCAGGAGGTGGAGGTTGCGAGATCGCGCCACTGCACTCCAGCCTGGTGACAGAGCAAGAGTCCATCTCCAAAAATAATAATAAAAAAGATATAAAATAGGTTTATCTAACAGTTTTTTATCCCCAAACTTGTCTCCTTTTCCCCCCAATTAAAAGCACAAGTCAAGTTATTCTGTTTTTAACTTCTGCTAGCCCTTCCCAATCTTATCTCCTTGACCACTTTCCAGAGAACAATTCTTAAGATAGTGAATAAGCCAAAGCAGAGGTCTGTTTACTTTACATGTGTATCACAAAGAGCAAAAATGACCTCTGGATTTTATCCTGCTGGCACCAATCCAATCACTAAAACCTACTACTTTTGTTAAGGGCATGGGAGAACAAAACATTCTAGTTTAATATTTCCATCATCTATCAATAGTATTAAAGTTTTTGCTTGCAATTGTGATGGTTTGCTTAATAATTCTGGCAAGACTTCTAGAATTACACTTTTTTTTTTGAGACAGAGTCTTGCTCTATTGCCCAGGCTGATGCAGTGGCACGATCTTGGCTCATTGCAACCTCTGCCTCCTGCATTCAAGCACTTCTCCTGCCTTAGCCTCCCAAGTAGCTAGAACTACAGTGCGCCACCATGCCCAGCTAAGTTTTCAATTTTTTAGTAGAGACAGGGTTTCACCATGTTGGTCAGGCTGGTCTCAAACTCCTGACCTCAGCTGATTCACCTGCCTCAGCCTCCCAAAGTGCTGGGATTACAGGCATGAGCCACCCTGCCCAGCCTACAATTACATTGTAAATATTGGAAATTTTTATTTGCCTATTGATCTTACTATATTGCTCTCAAATCAACTACTTAGAGCAACCCTAAATAAAACATAAGGCTGTGACTATCTAACACAATAAATGTATGATTTGAAAACTAACAGGGTCTATATGAGAGTTAAACAGAAATACACTTTGTCATTTTGAAAAAAAGGATTCACTTGCTAAGTGCATCCCCAATTGATAGGACCGTTAAGGGTCCTATCAATTCCACTTAAATATTTCTGTATCCTTTCCTTTGCATACTGCCTAGAAATTTTCACATTCAAAACCATTGCTATTGTGTCTCAGGCAGCTAAACTGAAGTAGTTCTGTACTCAGTCTAACTGAGAGGTCAACGTGCCTCAGTTGCCTGGAGACTGATGGTTGCTACAGCAGCACCAGATAAGCCAGGCTAAATAAGCTTCAGCTTGAAGACAGAAAGCATTTACCGCTGAACAGAAAAAATAGATGCAGGTATCTCAGTACATAGCATGTAAATCTAACTGGATGATCACATTTGTAAGAGACCTGTCTTTCTGAAACATGGAGAGGGGATAAATAGTAAAGATTTTAATTGAACTGAATCCTGGATTACTTACAACTATGTCGTCTTTGTTCTTCAGCTGAGTCACGTGTTAAGTGGAATTTTCCCTCTAGCTATAATTTCTCTTCACTACTACTTCCCTGATGCCAAACCCCTGGCTCACAACCATGATGAATGAGAAGAAATGAGGATTTTTGCTTAATTCAGCCAGGAATTAACCAGAGAGTAATTAAACAGACTTTTATAAAGAGAGAAAAGAAAAATGCACATTGAAAATGTTCATGTGAGACTTTGTCCAAGGATATAAAACTATCAACAGCATATGGTTACACTTAATTAAAGGAGATAAAACCATTTTTAAGAATCATTCTTTCATTTATCCTTTCACCCTCTCTAACCCCAAACCCGTTATGGCTACCTCACTCTTATAGTGAAATGAACTACAGAAAAACTCTGCTAAAGTAATCAAATTCCTCTAACCCAAGTTGAGAGGTTCACCAAATAGTTGACTTTCATCTTCAAAGATGATACTACTAATCATGCCATTGATTTTCTGTGTGGAATTGTCTGAGGTTGATTCCAATACATAATTTTAACAGCAACTGCTTGCACTGTGCCATTCACACACGCATCAAAAATAACCTAATGCTGTGCTTTCCAGAAAAGTGTATACCTATCCTAATGACCCACGTAATAGAAATTATGCACGCATCCATAATGCTTAAGTTGACAGCAACTTACGAACAACTACTTTAACTAGTTATTCATTATTAGACATTTGTCCCTGTGACCATTTTCTTGACCGTTAAAAGACTACTAGCGCTGTGGAAAAAATGAAAATAAAATTGTAAATAATTCCAAATAAATAAAAATATACTTTGGAAATCTTAAATGATTGTCTTTGGGGAAGAGAGTATAATGTGAAGGGAGGGAGGTTACATCATTCTCCCTGCACTGTCCTATTTATAAAACTCAAGATTACAATTTCCTTATTTGACTCTTACTTTTAAAACATCCTGGCCAGGCGCGGTAGCTCACACCTGTAAGCCTAACACTTTGGGAGGACAAGGTGGATAGATTACCTGACGAGGTCAGGGGTTGAAGATCAGCCTGGCCAACAGAGCAAAACCCTGTTTCTACTAAAAATACAAAAATAAGCCAGGCGTGGTGGTGTGTGCTGATAATCTCAGCTAGTTGGGAAGTTGAGGTAGGAGAATTGCTTGAACCCAGGAGGTGGAGTGCACTGCAGTGAGCAGAGATGATGTCATTGCATTCCAGCCTGGGCAACAGAGCAAGACTGTCTCAAAAAAAAATTTAATCCTATAGACTAGGTCACCTATCAAACTATAAATCTAAAGTCAGGTGAAAGAAAGGGGTACACAAATGGGAAAAGCTATATATTCATCACTATTTACAATATTTACAAATACTGTTCTCTCCCACTAGGAGGAAAAATGTGTAGTGCCTGAAGCAATCATTCAGTCTTTAACCTATATTCTCCTACACAGGTTTTTAAAACTTTACAAAGATTTCATATATTATTTGTGTAAATTTTTAAATTATGAAAGGAATTTTAAAAATTATTAAGAGTCCAAAACTGAATCATACTTTGTGAGTCCCACTTTTTAAAAGAAAGAATAAAAGATCCCCTGAAATTACATTTTGCATAATTCAGACAAAATTTAAAACCCAGAAATTAAAAAGAATTAGTTGGTGCCCATACACTCATCCATCCTCTCTCATGAATACCATGTAAAAATACTTATCATTTTCACTAACACATTAATACAAATTCAGATATTTCATACATTCCTATAGAAGACCCTATTTTATTTGTTTCTCCTCTAATGAAACTCATTTGAAAATGAGCAACCCACCTACTACCTGTCACATCATAGTGTAACAAATTACCTGAGTTGTGGCAACAGCAGGGGCTGCAGATGACACTGCTGAGGGAGAGAGCGCTCCCACTTGTTGCAAATGCCCAGAAGACTGTTGAGGTAAGTGAGAGCTGGAGACAGGAGTACTAGATCCTGAGCCAGATACCACATTTGGAAATGATACTGCTACATCATTGCTGTTATAAATACCTGCAAGAAAACAAATTTTATTTAGGTACTTTATAACTTAGCAGTCAGATTTGTCACAGACACACAATATTAATCAGTAAACTTGCATTTCCTCCTGAATTCCCTCCCCCAATTATAAATTTTATTGTTGGTGTTTAAAAAATATTGTGCTAGTAACTAAATGAATAAACACTGACTTTTCATAAAGTGGTTTTCTAAAAGAACCTACAGCATTTTTATTTAGCAAAAAAGTTCTCTGTTAAAAGCAAGGACTAGCAGGAAGAGCTTTGTTAAAAAAAAAAAAAAATGTGAGTTTTAAGAGCTTCTAAGAGCAAGAAAACATTTCTTAGCAGAGGAATGAAGAAATTAGAGTTGCATAAAAATCACCTAATAGGCCTTCCAAAAGGCAAATGCTAAGGCCCTAGAAATCATGAGTGAGAAAGTCTGAGGTAGGAAGAGACCCTGTTCTAGAAAGGCAACAAGGTAAAGATTAAAGTGGAACAGGCCCAGACTTGAAATTCAGAAACCAATAGAGGAGATGATGACCACTGATGGGAGACAGGTGTGGGAATAAAGAATGTAGGTAGATTCTAGAGACATTCCAGAGATAACACAGACAGGACTTTGTGACTGACTGTATAGGGTGGCTGCAAGGGTAGGAGTGGAGGAAGGATTAAGACATGATAAACTGGGTTGTGAGTTGGCAGCTCCATTCACTCCAGAGAACACAGGTGAAAATCATAGGAGACTTGATAAAAACACTTTGAGAAGCACCATGGAGATAAAAGCCAGAAATAAAGTAGGAAATGGAAGCTATTCACTCTAGAAAAGAGGATGGAAATGGAGAGGTGGGGGGAATGAGAATAAGTTAAGAGGAAACGAGTTAATTTTTTTTTAAATAAAAAATCATGCTCATATTCTGATAACAAATAACTCATAGAGAAGGGGAGGCTTTCAGGATAAAGAAATAGGAATATCTATGAACCAGTTGTTCTCAACCAGGTGTGATTTATGCCTGACAAGAGACATTTCACAATATCTAGAGACATTTTTAGTTATCAAGCCTGGAGGGTGCTATTGGCATCCAATGGGTATAGGCCAGGGATGCTACTACACATCTAACAATGCACAGGACAGCCTCCACAACTAAGAAATAACTGGCCCATAGTGCGAATAGTGTGGAGGCCGAGCAACCTTGCTATAAACCAGAGCTCTTGGGAGGGCAAGAGGGAAGAAGAGCCTAAGACCCAGGTATGGAAACAGGAGGAAAGAATGAATCTAAGTGAACTGCAGTCAAAAAAAAACAAAACAAAACAAAAAAACTTTTTTTTTTTTGAGCAATTGTAGCCCTAGAGAACAACAATAATTAGTAATTTATATCAACAATACAATTTACTTTTGTTTTGTTTTGTTTTTCTTTTCTTTTCTTTTTGGAGGCAGAGTCTCGCTTTGTTGTCAGGCTGGAGCGCAGTGGCATGATCTCGGCTCACTGAAACCTCCACCTCTCAGGTTCAAGCAATGCTCCTGCCTCAGCCTCCCAAGAAGCTGGGACTACAGACACACACCACCACACACAGCTAATTTTTTTGTATTTTTAGTAGAGATGGGGGTCTCACTATGTTGACCACGATGGTCTCAATCTCCTGACCTCGTGATCTACCTGACTCAGCCTCCCAAAGTGCTGGGATTATAGGTGTGACCCACCACACCTGGCCACAATTAACTTTGCTCTAAAGAACATCAACATAACCTGGACAACGAAGGGAGATCCTGTCTCTCCAAAAAATAAAAATTAGCCACACATCTGTAGTCCCAGCTACCTTGGGACTGAGATGTGAGGATCACTTGAGCCTGAAAGTTCGATGCTGTAGTGAGCCATGCCATGACTGCACCACTGCACTCCAACCTAGGCAACAGAGCAAGACTCTGTCTTTAAAATCAATAAATAATAATTACTGACTTATAATAAATAAAAGCACCTATAATCTTATTCAGACAAGGAAAACAAAACAATTGAGACATTTTAAAAGGCCTTACAGTATAATTAAGGCTTCTGGATCTTTTTTATATCTACAATTTCTCCAGAAAAACAATATATTCATTTAGCCAATGCATTCATTCTGCAAACGTCAGAGAATTAATTATTTGCCAGGCATTATTCTAAGCCCTGGAGATAACAAGCCATTCAAGATAGGTAGTCTCTACCTTTGAAAAGTTGAGTAGATAAAAAGGCATTACAAACGGTTGTGAAGAGTACTATAACAGAGACATCCTCGGGGGAACAGGGGCACAGAAAAAGAGGAATCTAAACCAGACCTGGGGTGAGAAAAGTGGTAAGCCAAAAAACTTACTAGAAGAGATGTTGTTACTTTTCTTTCTTTCTTTCTTTCTTTTTTTTAAAGATGGAGTTTCACCATATTGGTCAGGCTGGTCTCGAACTCCTGACCTCAGGTGATCTGCCCACCTCAGCCTCCCAAAGTGCTAGGATTACAGGCATGAGCTACCACGCCCGGCTGAGATGTTGTTGCTTTTCAAGCTAATTTCTTTTCTATCTTTTTAAACATTTTTTTCCTGAGACAGAATCTTACTCTGTAACCTGCATTAGAGTGCAGTGGTACAATCATAGCTCACTGCAGCCTTGACCTCCTGGGCTAAAGCAAACCTCCTGCCTCAGCTTCCCAAGGAGCTGGGACCACAGGCAAATGATATCACACCTGGCTGGCTTTTTTTTTTTTTTTTTTTTTTTTTGGTAGAGATGGGGTATCACTATGCTGACAGGCTGGTTTCAAATTCTTGAGCTCAAGTGGGTCCTCTCACCTCAGCCTCCCAAAGTGCTGGCATTACATGCATGAGCCACCAACCCCAGCCTCAAGCGAATTTCTTTTTTGAGACAGAGTCTCGCTCTGTTGCCCAAGCTGGAATGCAGTGGCGCAATCTTTGCTCACCATAACCTCTGCCTCCTGGGTTCAAGCGATTCTCCTGCCTCAGCCTCCCCAGTAGCTGTGATTACAAGCATGCGTCATTACACTCGGCTAATTTTTGTATTTTCAGTGGAGACAAGAGTTTCACAACATAGACCAGGCTGATCTTGAACTCCTGACCTCAGGTGATCTGCCCACCTCAGCTTCCCAAAGTGATGGTATTACAGGCATCAGCCACTGCACCTGGCCTATCAAGCTAATTTCTAAAGGCACTGCAGAACAGAGGTGAAGGACAGTTTGAGGAAGAAACATGCAGCAGAGACAGGGTAAATTCTAAGGACTTGATGACTAATTAGACCTGAAAATTCTATTAGATTAATAGAACTTTGTGACTAATTAGACCTGAAAAATAAAAATGAGATAAAAGTCATCAATAACTCTTAAGCATCAGTAAGTATAAGTGATAGCATTCAATTTAACAGGATCAGCAACTGAAAGCACAGTTTGGTTCCTATACACAAGTAACTGTGCTAGCATTAATAACTTAATGAGGAAAACATTACTCCCATTTCACAAATGAGCAAACGAAAGGTTAAAGAAATAAAGTAACTTGCTTGGTAAGCTAGTAGGTGGTGAAATCAGAATTCAAACTCACAGCTGTCCTATAAATGAAAGCACTTCCTAATACAAGTTAGAAGTTCAGGGTCATGGTCTTAGAGATGTCTGTGGACTGGGAACTCCTATATATAGAACACAATGGTATAAGCCTAAAACTCAGCAGAAAATTCAGATCTGAAGACATAAATCTAGGAGTGAGAAGCATAGTAAGTTACAGTAAGTAAACTTGCAAACTAAAAATACTATTGGTCTGCACTTGGTTGAAATTTTAACTAGTTGCTCCTATTTATTATAGAAATACAGAAATTTCCCATTAAAAACTCAATGTCTAATATCTATCTGCCAACACTGGATACTGTAGTACAAAAGAGCAACAATCTGGCCAGAGTGCTGAACATGGCAGTCTTTAATCCATCAGTGTCTCATCAGCCCTTACCATGTTACACATTTATGTTACCTATGAGGCCCCCTAAGTATCTGATTTACAACTCTCAATATGAACACAACAGACAAGGTCAAAGAACAAAAATGGGATCACTCAGGGAAAGTCTCAGTATGATCAAGAGAAGAGGAACACAGACAGAACCCTGGAGAACATTACCAATTAAAGGGTAAACAAACAAAAATAGACAACAAAGGACAAACTTAGAAAACTAAGAGAATCTTATAAACAGCTCTAAGAATTTCAAAGGAATGGCTGGGTGTGGTGGTTCACACCTATAATCCTAGCACTTTGGGAGCCCAAAGTGAGTAGATCCCTTGGATCCCAGGACCAGCCTGGGAAACACAGTAAAATCCCATCTCTACCAAAAATACAAAATTAGCTGGGCATTGTGCCAAGCATGGTGGTATGTGCCTGTAGTTCCAGCTACTTGGGAGGCTAAGGTGGGAGAATTGTTTGAGACTGAGAGGTTGAGGCTACAGTGAGCCAAGACTGTGCCACTGTACTCCAGCCTCAAATTTAAAAAAGAAAAAGAAACAAGTTTGGCTAAGGACAGGAAAGAAACAGTATGTTAATAAGTGATTATTTATAAACCTTATATTCCAAATAACACATAGCAGAGAAAAACATACACATTTTTAAAGGTTGTTACTCCATAGATAATTCAACAAATATTGAGTCTCTATTGAACTCAGTGTTTTCAAAGTATCTCAGAAGATAAAATGCAGCTGGATGTGGTGGCTCACACCTGTATTCCCAGCACTTTGGGTGGGCAAGGTGGGTGCATCACCTGAGGTCAGGAGTTTGAGACCAGCCTGGCCAATATGGCAAAACCCACTAAAGACACAAAACTTAGCCAGGTGTGGTGGTTCATGCCAGTAGTCCCAGCTACTTGGGAGGCTGAGGCAGGAGAATCACTTGAGAAGCAGAGGTTATAGTGAGCCAAGATCACGCCACTGCACTCCAGACTGGGAGACAGAATAAGACTCCATCTAAAAAAAAAGAAAGAAGATAAAATGCTGATTATCTAGTTATTTTGG